CATTTAAAAACTGTTTGGCACTTATCGAAAATTGTAAAGCAATTAAAAATCATGGTTCATCACCTGCCGCTGCGGCTGCATTCTTCGCCTTTAGATGCACCTTTCCACATAGTTTACAATTTTTTTCTTAGTCGCTCGTCCTGAACGCTGTCCCCTTCGCATTCTCTGCTCCTTCTCTATCTGCTAGCTCATCCTTGCTCGCTTGGTCGCCTCTGCTGGTGCTGCTGTTGCCGCTGCTTAGTTATTTCCAGTTTATGGCGCTGTGGCCCACACACCTGCCTAGGTTACGCCTGACAAGAAAACGCGGGCACACTTCGAGCAACTGGCAACAGCATTTAACGATCCTGTTCCGATCAGTTCCTTTTTCTTGTCGTTTGGCGCAATTTCCTCGGACGCCTTTGCATGCATTTAAAGGACATGTGCACGCCATTACAACAGTTAACTGAGAAGCGGGAGACACCCCCGAGGACATTCCAAGACACGAGCGTGCCACAAGCCGCAATAGCTCAAGCGAAGCATGCCCTAGACACATGCATGAGACCCCATATATAGGCTATATATGGCTCTATATCAGCCCCGATAGTCATTCATTATTGTAGCTACGATGAGGGCTGTTGGTTGGCTGGTTGGCTGGCTGGCAGATCGCCCTCGATGCGCTTCAGAGCGCGAGGGTTCGCATCGAGGGTTAGCGGTAGCCGCAACCGCCTGGCTTTTTGTAACGGATTCACCTTATGCCAGACGCGTGCCCATCCATCATCGTTTGATATGCGCAGTCGCAAGCGGCACAGGTAACAACAACAACAGCAACAATAACAACAGCAATAAGAACAGCTAGAGCAACTGTGTAAATCGCATAGCGTTTTCCATTTTCCATTTTCTATTACTCTTTCCATTTTTATCGGCCCCATTTATGACTGCGACACATTCCCAGTTACACCCTCAGCTTTGTTTGCATTGCAATCTCCTCTCCCTCTCCCTCTCGCTCTCCCTCTCGCTCTCCCTCTCTTTGGCTCTTTGCCAAACAAAAACAAATCCCACATTGGCTTCTGTTTCTGCTGTTTCGCTGCGCCGAATGCCTTTACACTTGGTCGCTTGGCTCGTGGCGCAGCGCAGTGCTCGTCGCTGATTGGCCGAGCTCGCCGATGGGCGTCGACTGCGCGTGCTGCTCACCCCGCTGCCAGAGGAAAGCAAGCAAACAAACGGGTTTGTCACTGTGTGCTGTACGTGTGCAGCGCTGTCGGGCTCTCTTGCCTGCCTCTTACAGCTTGCTGCGTGGTGAAGTTGAGTTGCCGAGCTTAGTTAAAACCGTTAGTTCAATTGTATTTGATTTATGTGTTTGTGTGTGTGCTGCATAGAAAGCACCAATTGGCTGTCTGAAATAGAAGTCTGTGAGCTTTCTGATTTGCTGTGACTTTTGCTTTGGTTTACAACTTAATACTTAACACTCTGCAATTAAGTTGATAAATTATCGAAATGCATTAAATACTCAGTTCAAGTCTTAGACTTCTGTTCTTTACAGAGATAGCTGAATTTTAAAGAATAATTAGACCAATTTTAGCTGACTATTTAGTATCGCAATCTATGGAACTAGATAAGTAATTAATTTAAAATAAGTGCTTAACAAACAAATTATTTTTAAAATATTTTCATAAAAAATATTTTTAAAATACTTTAAATAAATTTAAAAAAAATTTCTTAATATTTTTTGTTTCATAATATTTTCAATTACACTTAAAATATCAAATATAGTGTAGACTACAGTAAAACAAAAGGTATTTCCTCTTTTAATATTGAAAAATAATTTAGTAATTAATTATTTTATAAAATTATTATAAATAAACTACGAATATATGATGCATTTTTTTTTTTTTAATTTTGATTTATGGTAAGAATATATATATTTTTTAAATAACAAAGAGTTTAACTCTCTCTCAAACTTAAAAGATTTAGAATTTACATTTTCCTATCAGATAATTCATCAATAGTATTAAAAACATGTATATTTAATTATAAAATTATAAAAAATACTAATACAATTGTACATATATTTTTAAGGTTTGTTTTGCAACTGAATCCACATAAATGTACTTTATAAAATGCCCAGTTGCACTTTTCCTTTAACAGTCAATTCGAACCTTTGCAATTCCCTTCTAGGCTGCGTTTGCTTCTGTTCTACGCACCGGCAATCTTCACTGATTTATCGCACAATCTGCCGTCATCTTTTAAGTGGGCAACCATTTAAGTGTATTCTATTTGTCTCACAGTGGGTGCTAGCAGTTGGCTGCATACAACGAAAATTCTTAACAACAAATCAGACGGAAATCTGTAATAAATTTATTATTATGTAGATGTGCGCCCGGACTAACAAATGCGGAAAGCTAAAAGGCAACAAGAACAACATCAGCTGCAAGCAGAAGGCGCTGGCTACTGGTTATGAGCACGACGAGCAGGAGAAGGAACACGGTCCGAACTAAATGGATGCTGCTGCTATTGCTGTTGCTGCTGCTGCTGCTGCTATTGCTGTTTGCGGTGTGCTCAGGCAGCAGTCGGTTCATATCGTGCAGATTGTTGGCAATTATTAAAATGATAATTGCACAAATCTGGTTATCAATTGACGACCATCGAAGACCTTAGACCAAAGCGAGACCAAAAACGAGCGAAAGCCGCAAAACAAAGCAGCCTCACAGACGTACATAGATCCAAAACGCATGCGCAGCTCCAGCTCCAGCCCCCAGTCTCAGCATTGGCTCTGCAGGCAGCCCAAGCCTCAACTACAGCGTGGACCAGGCCTGTTGGTCTCTTTGGCTGCTGCTGCTGCTACTGCGGCTGCGGCTGTAGGTCTGCGTCTTATCATGTGGCGTTGGTGCGCGGCTTGCAGCATTTTGCAAACGTTGACAATTTGGTATTAATTTAAGACAACAGCAACAAGCCTCCTGGGCAGCCACCGAGAGCCTTTGGCTAGAGCATGCAGACCCCGACAGTTGTTGCCCACTTGGCCAGAGCCACTAGCAACGAGACGGACATTTACATGCTGCTCCCTCTTTCTGCTCTGCTGCGCCCGCTCCCGCTTCCCGCACCCGCTGACCAAACAATGAAATCTGCGTAGTTTACTGTTGACCCAGCCTGAGTGGGACAGCCGGGCAGTGTGACCAGCTGCGTTTC